TCTAAATCGTAACCCTGTAGACTAAAAACTAAAGCGTCGTGAATTTGGTATGTCTCAGTAAGAACTGTACAATCATAATGGGCGTGCTTAGTGTAAACGAATTTAACGAATCTAATGCTATTAACTGTTTAAGCACAAAAAAACTTTTTTTCATGCAATAAATACTTTAAATAGATAATAAATAATAAAGTTATAGTACTTTTTTGCGCCATTTACAGCGTCATAATGAAGCGCCTATTTCTATTGGTCACTAAAGAATCTGTGATACCGTAACACTAGACAGTTGATCGTTATCTTTTTCTAATATTTATGTTAGTTATCTCTTTCTGAAATCGGATTAAAATGATGTTTTCATTTCTCATGATCGAAAAATGTCAAAATTTCTAACCTCAAATCGATTATTGTTGGAAACAATAAATTGAAATTATCCTTCCTCCATGGAAATTGCTTTTAAAAAGTGTGATAAAATAAACATCTGTTTATTTTGCGTTACATTAAAAATATCTGGTTTTATTTTCAAGTACTTGGTCCCTATTAGAAGTAAAAAAAATCAGTCAATCTGATAAATTGTTCATAAAAGTTCCTCAAAATCAAAACCTAGACATTGAAAAACGATAGTGGGCTGAGGGCTGTTGCAAAATACAAACTATCATCGTGCTGTTGTATTTATTTTGATGTAAGTAAAGATAATCTTGAATTGTTTTTATTTGCAATTTAATATAAATTTATAAAACGTACCTAGTTGATCAAAATAGATCCTTTTTACTTAACACTGATTCTGAGGGTACTAGTTTGTATTATTTTTTAGGTGGAAGATGATGCAGAAAACTGGATCCATTTCAAAATCATAGGTAAAAATTTGACAATAAAACAAGATGTGCTTCATAAATGTACCACCTAACATTTCTATTAAAGGCTATTTAACTGACCCTGTGAAAAAAGGATTGAAAATTTGAATTGTATTGTCATTTCATATATAAATGTTATTAATTGCTTAAACGATTATAATAAAGCTTACCTGTTATTTATTGTATTCTTTTTAAACAGGAATGTATAAATAAATTACCTACAATATATACAAAAACTTAATATGAATTTGACAAAAGCTAATAGATGTATTTAAAATACAATGTGTAAATTATGTTTTTTTTTTAATCCTTATAGTTTTGCGAAATCTATACAAACTGTACAAAAGTAAATGCCTGGACTATACCTATACAGTAAACTGTCAATATCTTACCATAAATAAACCTTTTTAAAAAACTATTAACGGTAATGTAATAGGCAATTGATAAATAAATAACTTATTTTTATTTGAATTCATTATAAATACATAACACTGTTCCAAAAAATATTTGCCTGCTTCATAATATCATTTATTTCTTGTTCATCAAAAATAAACTTCTAATATTTGAACTATATTAAAATTTGGAGATTCCACACAAAAGAGCCCATTATGTTTCTTAGAACGCAACATTTGCAGTTTAATATGAAAGTATAATTTTCTGGTCACTTTGCACTGGATATAAATCTATTCACTCTTATTATGTATAAAAAGCACACATTTAATGTTTTTAATTCGAAGAAGAATCGACACCCTCAAATCATTAGAACTTCAAACTTTTGACAACAGTGGCCTTTTCTAATAACACAATGTTATGTGATGGAAGGTTATTCACTTCGATGGTGTTAAGAAGCCACAAACAAGAAAGCAAAACTATATTTGCACCCATCTTATGTCCATTACGTTTACAGGCCCCGAAATTACCTTCGAAAGCAGAATATTCTGTGAATTTACAAGATAATATGACCTTTCCTTTTGTTAATTTATTACGGAATAACGCTATACACTTTTTGTGTTCTGGCGTAATTCTAGCTTTAATGTTACAAATGGTAGCCGAACATATAAAAGTGCACTTCCTTGGTAGAATGGTAGACCTACAATGGAATAGAGAAATGTCAACAATATTGAGTAGTGAGTTTGTATAATAAAAAATATTTCTTTCTTAAACACAAATCTCTTTGAATACAATAATTCTAGAAAGATTTGGAGCTTAGAAAGTATACTTACGTTGCGAATGTCAGAGCCAATAAACTTTATATTATTTATATAAAAAATCATTAATCATGTTAGAATCCACCTTGTGTAAGTTGTCTAAAGATTCTTCTTTTAATCCTGTTTGTACTTTGTCCATTTTTAAAAAATTAAATAACAATTTTAAAATAAATTAAAATAATCTCGCAATCGAAAAACGAGGTTATGATTTAGACGCACAGATGACACTACGTTGTCAGACTTAGAGAAATTATTTCGCGATATGGCGATTATGATTTGAATAACATTTCGATTATGAAGAACGTTTATTGAAATGGTAAGTTGCTTCATAAAAACTGAATTTAAACAAATATTGTTTTAGTTTTAATATATGTTTTTATGTTAAATTATACGATCTTAACCTTTAAATTGTCGCTTATCCGGAATTTCAATAATTCTTTGTAAGTAGCGGCAACAGGGTAAAAACATATCGGCTATTGTCTGGAAAATTAAAAATTAGCCATTCAGATTTTAGGCTTCATTATGACGATGTTTAAAAATCACTGTGGCGAGCGTTTCAAATTTGCTTGAATTTTTTTGAATTTTAAAAAATTCTTGTAGGAAAATTTGAAAAGAACAAAATATTTTTGAATTTCACTAAACACGCCTATTATATTTCAGTTGATTTAGGTGCAGTTTTAGTTCATCCAGGTTCTTATTTATACTGCATATTATATTTTGATTAAAAATCTTAAAAGCATTAAATAGGTATCATTTATTTCCTTGATTGATTTTAATTCCAAATTACTAATATCATAATGATTAAAATCTTTTCTGTACTAATCCATGACTAACAGAAAAAATTAAAAATAACAGATTAAAAAAGTTAAATTATTTATTTTCTTTTTGAGATTTATCGAATATTATCTTAATTTCTTGAAGATGGAAATATGGACTTAGGTGTTTCATCTTCCGCGTCAGAATTAATGTATCTACGTTATTAAAGTCAGGTAGCTGAATATTTAAAGAGGCCGATGTTAGAGGTGTTCCAAAATGTCAAGTTCCTCTAGAGTGTATTTTCTATTGTTTAGTACTAACTTGTTTCCTTGTATGTAACAGTTTGTATATTTTCCAGTATCCTTGTATTTTATTTGATATTTTCTTAAATAGTTTAAATTTTTCTCGTTGAGCTTAAGTGATATCGTTTTGGATTGATATGCCTGTTTTTTGTAGGTATTCTATGATTTTTCAGAATTTGAGAATTTTTTACATCTGATGTTTGCAAATCTACGTCTACAAGATTACTGACTTCACTATTAACAGTTTCTATGTCCAAATTATTTTTATTCAATCCAAACACAATGATCTTGTTTAATTTATTTTCTCGTTCAAGTTTTTCTAATTTTTGTTGTAAAATTTCATAATTTTACCGCGAACGCAGGATAGAACCAACAGTTCAGGTCTTTTTGTTCCGCGAACGCTTTTTAACTACTGCGCCTGCGAAATCGTTACTGTAATAATGTAATAATTCGGTTCAGGATTCTTACCGCGAACAAAGCTATAATATTAAAATGTAAAATAAAATAGTGTAAGGTCGCCTTTCTTCGGTCGTACAAATTGTAGGTGATATATAAAATGCGAAAAAATGTTTGTTAGGATTTCAATCGTAGATTTTAGGTAATTTTAGTCATGAATTGCAATTGTATAAAAAGCAGAAAGTACGTACAATTTAGTTCCCAGGAATTGAATTGTTTTTGAGATGCACTGTGCACACTTATTAGATTTTATTAACTCACTTTGGTTGACAACACCATAGCAATACTGTCCCTATGAAATAGTAGGAACCCCGTATTTTAGTCTAAATTATCCGACGATAAGATATAAAAATCACATTTTTAAACAGTTTAAAGTAACACCACAGTTTATAGCTAAAGAATCAGTTCGCTCACTCTGCGTCGGCTCTTTTGATCTCAATGTTCCAGTTTATACACTGCGCAACTCGGATTTGTATCCCTGGCGCCTACAGAATCAAATCATAACCAATACATGACAACCGCCTATATTCAAACAGCAGTTTTCTGCGCATCTTGAATTTGTATCCCTGGAGTGGATATTATTTTGGAATATTTAACTGGTCCAAGGGAGCTAACTGATTCTTTAGCAATATACTGTGGTAACACTATAAAGTAACATATTTATCAGCTTTTAACTCGAGAATAGAAAAAGATATAGACATATAATTTTCGCTGAACCTCTTATATTTGCTTCAAATTTTTGTTGACATAGTTGCCAAATATAATTTTTTTCCTAAACTGCCGGAAAAAAATTGCCATTTTTTATGCCAAATTATCGGTTTACTTTAAATAGAACACACTATATATTTTTATACCATCTGAAAGTCCGTTTCTTCCCCTTTTCAAAAATGTGTACACTGCGATGATTTATTAAAGGTTTGGGGGAGATATTTTTTTATAAATCTACATCAAAAACATGTAAGATTGTTGGAATTTTCTGTTGGAGTTTATTAATTTTTTATACATTTTTATGGGTGTATTTTCTGGTTTACTACAAATAAAAAATGATATGATCTCTTTTAATTATAAGATCATACAAACTTACATTCAGTGAAGTTCGATACACTGCCCTCCCTTCGAAGATGATAAGTAAACACGTTAAGAAACGTCAAATAATTTATGAGAAGTAGATTAAGAACGAACACTCAAATTTATTAATCAAAACAGTAAAAAAATTGCCATTTTTTTTTCGGCAATTTTGGGAAAAGTATACATTTGGCAACTATGTCAATAAAAACTTAAAGCAAATGTAGAAGTTTAGCGAAAACTACACGTCGATATCTTTTTCCACTCCTTAGTTTTAAGCTGTTAAAATGTGTTAGTTAATAGTATTGTAAAGGTGCAAATATTTTTTTGCAGAGTGTGCTAGGTTTTCTATAAAAAAAACTTACCTGAACTGTGCAGTTGGTACCGGAACCGAATCCTTTCTATGACTACTCGACTTGTTAAAAAACCATTTCCTATCGAGACTAGTACTCCCGCTAGGCGTTCCCGTATCACTAGCAGACGATTTTTTCGAAGTGAACTTTTTCAGAGATCCAAATTTCTTCAACGAATCAGATTTTTCGACTTGCTGTTTCGTTTTTTCGGTATCGGATTCGTCCGTTTCGGAATAGAGAGAAGTGTCGGGAGTTTTGTTAAGCTCGTTATGGAGCGTCGCAGACCTTATTAGGTCTGTCCAGGATTGGAGTGCATCAGGATCTTCTGCCGAGAAGTAAAAGACTGTACCAGTGTGGTAGACTTTAAACGAATTCAATCTTGATTTAACCTAAAAGATATTTATAGTTAACAAATCATAGACTAGTGGAATGTGGCATAGGAGGAAAGAGGAAACGAGACAGATATAGAAATATAAGATGGATGGACGGAGTGTTGAAAGATGTAAAGTTTTTGAAGATCAACCACAACGACGATAATGTATCAAGCTACAAGCCAGGAGCCTATCTAGTTAATACCATATACCAAATCATAGAAAGTATTAATAGCAATAGGAAATATTTCTGGCGTATTTTAATAGTGGACAGCTCAAACAGTTGCGAGGAAATTTAATAAAGCTTCTGTTTTTCTTATTTAAATTACCTCAAATTCGACGTAAAATCAAATTAAGGTTTTATGCCCACAAATATTGTACAAAGGTGTTCTAATAGAGCGTAGAAATCTTTGTCTCTCTAAAATTTTAAAGTCACATATCGATTTTCTAAATTTTGAGATATTGGTATACAAGGTGAGCCAATGAAACGGGACTATTTGGGAACGCCACTGCAGTAAAAGTAGATGTGATGTGGGATTGAGCCGTTAACGCTGTGGCTCTAGAGAAAAGGAAGTTTATTTCTGATCGTTACGTCAATATGTTGGAACAATTGTTTCTTCCTGTAATCGAGAACAACAGAAATTAAATAACGATTTTCCAACACATTCTACACAACACGAGTGTCAATGTGCTTAATACGACAGGCGTTCCCCGGTCGTCTTATGAGAGAGATATTATCTGACAACCTAGTTTTCCTGATTTGTGCACATGCCACATTTTCAGTTGGAAGTACCTAAAAGACAAAAGTGTTTTAAAGTAACCCTCCAATTGAGGCATTAAAAGGAAGGATTCGACGTGAAGGGACCACAATATTGATATAAATGATATGCAATATTATGAGCAGCTTTGCAATGAGCCTACAAAAAAGTGTGCCACCTTTCGGACGTTACTTTTAAAAAATAAATGATTGTGCACTTATACAATATTTCCATTCGTGTAGATTGTTTTCATCAATACATTTTAGAAAAGATGATTTTATGAATGTTTTCCGACTTTTTAAATCAGTAGTTTCATTGGCTCACCCTGTAGTTACATATCGACTCATGCAACGAAGATTGTCGTAACTCACTTTTTGGCGAATTTGAGATACTACTGTTTTCAAAATCCCCATGAGCGTTATTTTGATATGGAATACTCAAGCAACTCAAATTCATATTATAAGCAGTCGTATATTAACACCATTTGAAGTAACTCAAGTTAACAGCAAAAAGTATTGTATGTGGCGTTACTGCAGTTTTCGGTGCTAAAGGTAACGGAAGAGACAGAGTTACTATTTATATTATAACAAGGCTAGAATACAATATGCACAGTAGTATTTATTTCGAGTGCTGAGTGTATTTTAGCTAAAAAATAAGCAGAAGAACGAGATTGATTATAAATTTATGAAGAAACGACAAAAAGTGGAACATCAATGTAAGTATATAAAAACAACTTTTGCAATTATTATTTTTCTAAAAATACTATTAGGAAATAAAAAATCTAAATTCATATTTATTTACAGATGCTGAATCTGAGTTGATCCTTCCGAGCCAAATATATCTATGTTACATCCTTACCGGGCATTGCCGACTAAGGCCCGATTGTACAAAGCAAGCTAAAACCTAGGTTCAGGTGAACTCGGTAAATGGTTGAACTTACTTTAAAAATTGGTATGAATTGTACATACCCCGCTCAATGTCGGTTTAGATAAACTTCATTGTTCAGGGTTGCCAGATTTTAATTTTACTAAATACGTAGTGTATCTTTGTTTCTCTTATTAGAAAATAAATGAGCTATATAAAATGTCATTTTTGGCATTTTTACTATAAAATTATTATTTTTATAGGTTATACGTAGTTTTCCCTTGTGTTTCCAAACTGATAATATAAAGAACGCCAAACTTCACGCATGCCGAAGAAGGACTAGTGAAACTAGTGAAAAAATATAAAGATATTTTAGAAAATAAAAACACAGATGTGAATGTAACGCACAAGAAGAATGAGTGCTGGATAAAAATTGAAAGTGAATTTAATTCACAAATCTTTGTACAAATTCAGTATTGTATCACTTCACAAAATGATTGTCCCTTGGTCTATATATTTATGGTTGTCTTTCTGGTTGTTGTAAGATATTTGCTAATTCTAAAAAAATCCTCGTCTTCAGACATTTCATCCATTTTTACGAAACAACTTCTATTAATTAGGAATTCAGTAATTCGTATATATCTTGATTTCTATTTACCTACCTACGGTGTACGGTTTGTGTACGGTAACGTATAAGGTACCAACCAAAAAAATATGTTTTTGTAGTGTGTTACCAACTAACTAAATTCAAAAATAGGTCTGAACTCGGTTTAAGCGCGGAAACATGACCGCTTTGTTGAACCTATAGATGAACGCAGTTTATGTTCTGAACTAGTATTGTACAACGCCAAGAACCAGGTTCATACTAAACCGAGGTTCAACTCGCATTGTACAATCGGGCCTAAAAGGACACCTTAGTAAACTGAGAGTAGTAGAGGATAGTGAGTGCAGATTCTGTGAGGAGGAGGACGAAACCTCCATTCACATTCTAACTGAATGTGTAGCACTCCAGAATTCAAGGGCACTATACTTAGGAGGATATCAAATAGAAGAGGGAGATTTACTTAATTTGAAGCCACTCCAAATCTTACACTTCCTTGAGAAGATTGGAAGGGGACACAATAGATCATTTAGGTCGCAGTGTATTAACCCGAGAATAACGATCAAGGAGAAGCGACAGCTTGGTGTTTTTAGTGTACCGTTTTGTAACGCGCATGTGCGAAAATAAGTTGTGTATCACTCAAAATGATGTTATCTGTCAAAGTCAGTCCAAGTTGTGTTTAGTACGTGAGCAATGTTAAGTGATATTTTTTGGTGTTTGTTTTGTGTAGTAATAAGATGAAGATTTTTACACACTTAGGTATTCTAATGCAGACAAAATGTGCCAAAAAAGTTACTAGGAAACTAAGGATTTTATCACATGCATAAATATTAAGTATAATGATTTAATCATTTTTGACATTTTATTTTTCATATGTAGGTATTGTATTTTGTGAAATATATGTTTTCTTGTTTTAAATAAATTTAATAAATAATGAACTGGAGATTTTGTTTATTTTATTTTGAAATTATATTTAAAAAAATATAGTAAATCCGCGTGTTTCAATTAGGATTGGTCAAAATGGGTGAAATCCCTCTATTATGGCTAAATTGTAAGGTACAATTATATCAATATAAAGATGTTTTGCCCATTCATATTTACATTTATTGAATGAATCATACTGGAGTTGATTTTGGAAATACTGGTGCATACTTAAATAAGTACTATTTCAAAAAATTCGTCTATGCCCAGACAGCACACATAGTCCAATGTACGTCCACTTTAGATCTATTTGAGGGTCAGGACGTCCATATCCAGGCATCCAGTGTACGTCCGTTTATGCTAATTAAATTGACAGCTGAATATTGATACCCAGAGAACGTCTGTTTTTGGACTTAATTTTATGTTTAGTGGTATTTTGACGTCCATTTTAGGTCATTATTAATTAAGCCTACCAGATAATACTCATCTAAAATATATACTTCTTTTTTTAATATAACTGGTCATTAAAAATTGACAACTTGAATCTATTGCATTTCATTCTATCAGCAGAAGTTTGAAATCTTATTCAATTATAACTGTATCTAGTAAAAAGTTTTCAAGTGGTTCCTTGGTCGAGCTCGTCTAACGATTGAAAGGGTAAAACTATAATGGATGTGTCGTGAGTTCGATGCCTGCTCAGGTCAAGTGATTTTTAATTAAAAAAAAAAATTGTGTATAGCCCCAACAAACATTTTGTGTAGGGGAAGTAAAGGCCTAATAACTGTCACCCTCCAATTACATTGATGGCTATTTGATTTTTTTAATTAGAAGGCCGGCACATATAGGTCACTACAGCCGACAGTCGGGCCAAAGTCACTTTGCCATCATAACCAATTAATGGGCCTTAATTTCCCCTTTAATGTCTAGAAATAAATATTTTGGCAATTAATGGCCTATTGATGGGAAGTTAACGGGAAATTGCTGGCCTTCTACCATATTAATAAAGGCCATGTGTCAGGAACATGATCACACAATATTCGATAGTGTCCTTTGACCAGTAGTACACCGTTTGAACTATATTATCTATACAAAAACAGAAGGCATTTCAATATAGAATATTGTAGAAATATTATTTAATTCAGCTATATAATATGATAATACTGAAAAAATGTCTTCTTCAAAAAAATTGTTAATAAAATATTCTAAATTAACATGTAAACGTAAAAAATTACAATGAATACTGAATACCAGCAACACGAGACTGGCCCGCATGTCCACTCGTTGAATATGCAACAAGCGATCATCGGTGTCTCCATCTATGAACGCGGGACGGGGTCCTCCTGGACTGTTTGCGGCAGTTAAAAACCATGCTTTTACCCAATACAGTTACTTACTCTTCATAAGGCCATCATCAAGCAACATAATGCTGGGCCACTATCGAAAGACCAAAAGTAGGCTTTTATCTTTTAATCGTCGCATTCATTTTCCCTTCAATTGCAGCAAAAGGCCAGCAATATCCCGGAAATTTATTGCTTGTTGGGGCGGTTTGCGAAAATAATAAAAAAAATTATTAATAATATAAAATAGTGTGTGGTAAGTTGCGTTTCTGTAAAAAAAGTGGAGATGTGGTCTCAATGGAAATATAATCCTGGACGTTTTTTGAATGTTCAGTATTCGACGTCCAAATATATTCCAGAATTGAACGTCCTCTGAATGGTCAAAAGTGTTCCATTTGTATACTTCACTGGACGTCTATTGGATGTCGGAAGTCCAGAAATAACTCATTCTTGGACGTCCAATGGACATATTTGTATTGTCTGGGTGATAGCCAGGCCAGGTATTTAACTCTATATACATAAACCTTAAATGACATCTGGCTTAACTTGACGAGAAAACACTTGTTTATACATAAATGAGTGATAAACTTGAAAGTCCTTTTAATATAATATAAATCCAGAAATTCTAAAAATATGTAACTACTTTTTAAACCTAAAAGTTTTTGAAAATATAAGCACATTGCAAATATTTAGTTAAATATCTCAAACTTAATGTCTTTTTAATTGTTACCTAAATTTTTTTTGGCACCCTTAATTTTATTTACCTTATTTTTACTTAAGGAAAAGGTAATTTAATTTAAATATGGGGCTTTTATTACATTTTTAACAATAAATAAACCAAATATTATAACAAATTTTATAGATAAATTATAAAATAATAAACGTCTTTTACTTTTATAATAAATAATTAATTATTACATAATGAATTATATTTTGGTGCCGAAATTTCACCATTGCTATTAACCCTAACTACTTCAATGTAATTAAATCACATTACACATTTGCGCATGGACTATAACAATGATTTCAGATAATTTGCCAAACTATTTCGCTCAGTGTAGAAAATAAGCATGTTTTCTCAGCGTGCTAAGTTGTGTATCAATCAAAGTCATGCTGTGAAAAAGGTACATCCGATATCAAAGGCACCGACAGCTACTGTCGCTTCTCCTTGATCGTTATTCTCGGGTATTAACACCCCATTCCCAACATAACATACATCCTAAAGAAGTAGAATGTCGCATAATTGTGAAGGAAGTTTCAGACAAAATAATTAACCATGCTGAACGAATGTGCCCTTTTAATCTTTCTAGCAGCTGTTTATTAGATTTTTTGCAATAACAAAAAGAATGGGATGAAAACTGTAAAACTTTATTTATACAACTGTGGATGTGGAGGCCGAATAGGAATCGATTTATTTTCTCAATGTTTAAGTATGCTTCCAATTATTTGACCTGAACATAATACACAGATTCCTAGAAAAGGGACATACGCAAAACGAAGGTGACAGTATGAATGCCGTTATAGTAAATGCCAAAAAAAGGCAAGGAGCAATTTACACGCCTTGTCAATGAATTACTCTAATCAAAATGGCAAAGGTAACTGGTAAACCCTATATAGTCGACGAAATGCCTCAAGTGGATTTTTAGAGTTTTTCGGATATGGTAAAAAATCAAAACTGGAAAACAGATGTTAATAATGAGCCAATTAAAATCAGTAAAATTCGAGAATTAAATTCAGTTTAAACACGAATTTAATCAAGAACCTAATTTATAAATTTGAAAAAAGGCAGGTAAATTCAATACAAATTTCTCCACAATACAGAATTTACGATTTGCTAAAAAAAAAAAAAAAATGAACACATTATTGAAACATTTACTGTCAACAATAAACTGGGACCACATACTTTGATTACTATACGGGGCAAGAGAGAGGTCCGACACGCCCAACATAGGGCGCGGCCATTTTGAACCCTATGACACAGTTTATAGCTAAAGAATCAGATCGCTCACTCTGCGTCGGCACTTTTGATGTCAATGTTCCAGTTTATACACTGCGCAACTCGGATAATACAATATATGACAACCGCCTATAATAAAACAGCAGTCTTCTGCGTATCCTGGATGTGTATCCCTGGAGTGGAAGTTATTTTGGAACTTTCAACTGGTCCGAGTGAGCTAACTGATTCTTTAGCAATAAACGGTGACTCCAAAAATAATATTCACTGACACTGACAGCAGCAAGCAAAATATCAGGTGCGTTTTAATCATCCGCTTCTGCTTCCGGAATTGTCGGTTTAGTCGTTTTAACCTGTCAGATTAAAACAAGAAAACCGACAATTCTGAAGCAGAAGCGGATGATTAAAACGCACCTATTAAAAATATTGCGCCAAGATGTAGGCAACACGTAATAAGGGTTCAAAATGGCGGAGTTTTCCATCTCCTTTTAAAAGGCACTCAGAAAGCTGCGCAGTGCGACCATTCTCCGTATAGTAAAAGAAAATTAAAGTATGTGACTGGGACGATTATAAATTTGTTTCCTGTCAAAATCATGACATTTGTTTTGTTCTTGTGCCCACGGCCAACTAAATTTTATACTAAAATTAAACGTGTACTAAGAATATCGTTTATCAGTGTTTTTCCTTCGAAACAATGCAAGATACGGAATTTTCAACAAGAGTCAAAAACTGAAGATGAGTAAGCCTTAAAAAAGTCTAAGAAAGCCCTTAAGGAAATAAAAAAATAGCATGAGGAAAGGGCGGTTTTAACCCTTCTGCAATTTTCTTTTGGTTTCTTTGAACACTGAAAATAGGTTAATCTAAAATGTACTTCTGCCAAATTTCATTAAATTTGTTTCACGCATTTCCTAACAGCATATTTTTTTGTAAAAATGTTTTTCTAAAAACTTTTTTCATTTGAATAGTTTTGGTCTGGTCCGTAGAATTTAAACTTTGGACTAATAAATATAAATTGTCATTATTAAATATTTTTCGGAATTCGCCCAAATTGGTCAAAAATCTTTTTCAAACATTTTTTCACAAGAGATTCATAATTTTTCTTTAAACTTTTTTCATCAAATTATTTTATTCTTTAGTCCTGGGAAAAATCTTAGTTTTTCATCAATATATTTTTCAAAATTTATTGATAAAAAACTTCGTAAAATAAATTGGTCCTTGGACTTTAAAATAATGAAACTTAATTTTTTTCTACAAAATTGATTCCATTAAATATTTTTTGGACTTTGAACCTGAATGGATAAGTTTTCATCAGAATAAATAGAATTACTTACCTCACTGGCCACAGCGACCGTGAACCCAGCGAGAAAAATAAGACAAGCGGCTTTGGAATCTTCTTTCGTTTTAAATCCATACAAACAACTTCCTAAAAGTACAAACCATCTTCTTTCCCAGTGCACATGTTTACCTCTCAACCGTTGATACAGAAAACCTTGAATATCTGATGGACTAAGGTCATTAACTGTTACCTTTCTTCTTTCTAAAACATGAAAATATATATATATAGTCACTGAAATAAAATAACATTTTACATACAATTCGGTCCATAAGTAATGAATAAATTCATTTCCTACATAGTTTCCAATTAATGAAGAAAATCCTAAAACACGTTAATTTTTAATTTTAAAACGACATTTTTTAAGCATACTTTTATATCTTTTCTTCAACCCAATTAGAGTGACAGCAATCCCTTTAACAACGTTTAAATGGAACGAGGGTGCATATGACAGCTCATTTAAAAGGGTTTTTACTTTTTTATCCAGCTATATAAGTTCTTTTTTTAATTTCTTTACATTTTTTATTGAAAAATATAATTTTTCCCAAGCAGCGTGACGTGATTTTTTGGGATTAGTCGTCAGAAACGTCACTATCACAATTAATGACGTTACTTTGACGTCGTTTTTGCAACGTTTATTAGACGTCAATGCAGACTCGTCATTATGACGTAATTTTTTAGTATTAATTTATCCGAAATACAATATCCTAATCAGTAACGTGTATTCGACGTCGCATTGATGACATAGAATAGACATAACTTAGAATTCGTCATAATTACGTTATTTTTTCGTATATTTTAATACTTAAGTGTTAAATTATAAAGAACCTAATTGGAAATCTGCTTCAACTGAAAATACGTATATATTAAGTTTGTTCGAGCTGCAGTTTGTAAATTTTTTTGGTAAAATTACGGTGCCTTATGTTTTGATATGGATAATTAGAACGTTCCGTTTTCTACCATTAATCATTCAAGATTTTGTTGCCTGTCTCTTTTTAACGTATGGCTAACCCAATTCCGATGTCCTCGAATCTCAAATGGCAATGAGTTTTGATAATCTAGTACAATTGTACTGGATCTAGTACATCCTAAAGGTAACAGGTACGCTAGAAACGAAATTCAGTACATTGTCTGCTATCGTCCAGTGTAATTAATATAAGTTAAACTCAGACTATATTTATACCTCTGAGAAGATAGTTTTTGGGGCTACTACCTAAATCTCCGGTGAAATAATCGCCTCAGATACACAATTTACTTTCTATCTTCAAGAATTTTTAGTGGTCGGTATTTTAATAGTTCTTTTATTTTGGATGATAATGATAAGTGATGTACCAAATTAAAAAAGTCAAACTTATCTCAGATCTACATTCCGAGGCTGATAAAGTACCTACTAAAAGAAAACTATAAAGCTGTCATTCGATGATACCGAAGATGATGAAATCGTAAAGCATGCTCGCTCCCCCCAATTAAAAATAAATCTACAATTTTAGGTATATGTTGTGTCAGTTCCTCTAATATTCTTTTGTCATTTTATTCCTTTTGGTTTCTTGCTCATGACTTTTTTATTTACTAGTGTAATTTATTTTTTATAATATATTTTTCATATGTTTTTTGGATTAAATAAATAACTTTCATCTGCTTAGTATTTTTAATAATTCCATCCAACTTTGGGACGTTAGGTAGATTCGTGATAAAGACGTAATTTTGCCTAGTCTAGGACACCTGATATATACGTTACTTTAACGTGATATCGCTGTGACATTCTCACGTTACCATAACGTTATTTTCACATCATCAAATGATATAATGCACACAAAAAAATGACGTCATAATGACGGCATGATGTTGCATGGGTTAATAGCACTAAGTAAACAAAAGAACATGAAATATTTTAAATCAAATTTTAAAACTGCATCCGTTGCTTCTTGACCATAATTCTGTTTTTAAATCATCGGAAGTTATTTGATCTGTTGTAGACTAAATTTTAAATATGCTCAAAAATAATCAAGTGGACAGGCCACACAATTTTACCGCGTCTAACGATTCACCGATCTAGAAAAACGTGATCGAGATAGGTTCTTAATTCCAATGCAAAATGTGGTGTAGCTCCGTCCTCATCATACCAAATATTTCTATCAATTTTGTTAGGGTTGTCATCATCTGGGAAAAGTAATTCTGGAACTAAGAAATTTTGCAAGAAATACAAGTAACCGATGCCAGTTAATGTGCTATCAAAGTCCGATGATTTGAGTATTTATAATTCCAGCCCAATCGCCTTCTCAGGATATTTAATATTGGCCTCCATCTTCCAATGTGAATTTTCTGTACAGCAAAATCTACTGTTGTCTTCTGACTGTTTCATTTAAAATAAATGTTGCTTCATCAGAGAAAATGTTTTTTTATTTATTTACGGGCAAAACCCAATTCGGTTTAAATATAATAAAATACAATAAAATAGTGCTAACATAAAAATTAAGAAAAATATAAAATAAAAATGAAAAAAAAAAAAAATTCAAATAACATATTCGTACGATTATATAGCAAATTGGTATATATACTAAAGTACCAAATAGCAATTAAATTATAATGAATGCAAATGAAGAATATGAGATTATACGTGACGTTCAAATATTCAGTGTAAATGGTTCTTAAATCTCTGAACAGAACTGTCAAAAAGTTGAATATCATTAAGAGAATTGAATATCATTAAGGAATGAATGTGTTAAAAGCATAATTGCATCGGTGAAAAGGCACATGGAATGTTTGAATTTGTCTAGTAGTACGTGACGGCACAAAAAGATTTATTTTGGCAAGCAGGTCGGGCCAATTACATTTGCCATTGATAATATTGGACAATATGGTAGATCTTTTCGTTTCCTACGAACTTCCAGGAAGTTATGATTAAATATTGTTGCAATTTGCAGTTTACTTTTATGACTTAGGTAGTGTGGGAAACAGACTGAGGAGAAATAATCAAGTTGTGTCCTAACTAAAGAGAAGTATAGAATTTTAATTTTGTTTAGATTAGTGTAATCATGAGTTGTCCTCTTGAGAAAGCCCAGAATTTTCATTGATTTTTGAACTGTAGCAGTGATATGGCCATTAAAGCTCATGGATGAGTCAAAGGTCATCCCTAGATCCTTGATTTGATCGACGACAGGGTTCAAAACATGATAAAATAAACTATATACGTTATAAAATGATGACTGCGACAAAATCAGATAATGTGACTTTTTTAGTATTTAAATCCATGCCATTACTAGAGCACCAACTTCCTAGTTTATTTAAATTCGATTGCAAAATCTGGGTGTCTTAAGAATCATTAATGATCTTAAAGCACTTCAAGTCATCTGCGAACAATAGAGCTTTAGTGTCACAAAAGCAAGTTGTGATATCATTTATAAACAGGTTGAATAGTAGCGGTCCTAAGTGAGACTCTTGAGAAACTGTAAGACCATCCCATCTATATCATGTATATTGAACTTAATAACGAGAAGATCATGGTTCACCTTGTCAAAGTCGATATACACAGAATATACCTGTAGACCTTTCTCCAAGCTTCAGATAGAAAGTTGGCGTACGATAATAAGCTCAGTTCAGACCAAATTGTTGGGAAGATATTGGAGCAGTCTTATGTTAGAAAATCAGTTATTATACTTTCAAAGATTTTTGGGATTGTGTTTAGAATGAAAATGTGGCGATAATTTTTTGCATCAGATTTGTTGCCCGATATGTAAATGGGAGTAACGTAAGAGAGTTTCCAAAAGCCAGAAGGAAATTCACCTGTGCTCAGTGATTTGTTAAAGATATGAAAAAGTGGTTAAGATAATACAAAATTAATTTTTTTGAGGAAAATGGGCGTAATTCCATTGGAACCGGGTCCTTTATTAATGTCAAGTGTTGACAGCTTTTCATAAATCTTGGAAATTTGGATGAAGTAAGAAGATACGCATATTACAAATTGAGTTTCACTATCATTTAAATTTAGGGTTTGGTTTGTGTATAAAGAAGTAAAATTACTAGTAAATAGATTGGCAATGTCATTACCGCAGGAAGATAAATTATAGTTTAACGTCATTGAGTTATGTAAAAAAATATTTCCTCTCTTATTTTTTACAAATATCCAGAAAACTTTAACACTTTTAACAACTGAATTCTCAGTACGGCTTACGTAATCACCATAACACTCTTTTGATAACATTTTTCAATGAGCTCTGAGTTGACTGAAATGAATGCAATGTTCAGCAGACTTAGTATATTTATAAGTTATATGGGCTACCTTTTTATCACGCAACAACTGTGTAAAGCTGCGGAGAATACCAACAAGCGAATGTACTCTTACCGATTTTTTTCACTGGAAAAAATTGTTCAATCATTTAAAACATAACATCATAGAATATGCAAACCATATCAGAAAGTTCTTTACCATGAAGAAGGCCATCCCACTCAATTGCTTCCAGACACTGGCGTATAGCTGTGAAATCTGCATTACGGAAATCATAGTAGTATTCCATTCCAAAGGGTGTGTTTTTATCTACATAAGGCTGCAAAGTAGTTACAAGTGGTGGATTTAAAATGTCAACATATTTGGAAACTGCGTTCATCATGTGAAAGGACTAGGTCAAGACTTACTCCCCTACTGTTGACTGCCCTATTTGATTGAAATAGGTTATGTAAGGCACATATATTTGAGACAACTTCAGTAGCTTCATAAATAACGGATCATCTTGGAATCTATTTGCCATGCTTTCGCAAAATTCCTGTCCGCGATCAAGGTTCTTGAAACAAATGAATTTTAGAAGACCCAATATGGATGTTTTACTAACATAATCATCGGCGGCAATTCCTCTTGTAGGTTTATGTGGATTATCTTGAATATCTAACAATATGTCAATTTTCTTTTTACCGGACAAAAAGCGTTTTCTACCAGTGTTAGGAATATCCAAAGACATTATAACATAGACAAAATGTTTCATTCATAAATCCCATACAATTGCGGACAGTTATTGTTTTAAAATTGTTAGTGAGTGGAACAGAGAAAGACAGATCTCTTAGGACCGGGTGGCAATGTTGTAGACAGTGTTCATAATATGCTCTCCAGTGGCGTAGAGTTTTAAACTTACCAGTATTGTCAGAGTAGTATGTTAAAAAAATACGTAAATAAGTAGGTAATTTTTTTAGTAATATAATTATGATTTTTTCAT